CTCAGTATTCAGTCTACAGGCCCCTAGAAAACAGTGGTGGGAGCCCCAAAAACCAGGCACTCATCTGCCCAGCATCTCCATAGCACTCGGAGGGAGCCTGGCCCCCCCAACCCCCAACGGGGTCCCTGGGTTTTCAGCTCTGGGCCGTTCATGTTGGTAGGACCTGACACCATGTCTCTGGCTTCTCTCACCAGGCAGGGTGGCTGCACAGTCCAGTCAGACATGTAGAGTTCGGGCCTCTGCTGGCTGCAGGGAGTCCCCCCGTGTGGACAGACCACACTGTTCCTCCGACACCTATGCAGGGGCACAAGGGTCATCTCTGGACCCGGCTGCTGTGCACCCTGGTGTGCAACGAATTGTCTGCACCCTGCGTTCAGTTCTTGGGGGGAAGACAAATAGGCTGGAGGTTGGGGCAAGAGCTCAGAGTAGTTATATATTCTTTGTTTGGGGTAACCGACTCACCCCCGCCCAGCAACTGCTCCATGTTACAGTCATGGACGAGGGGTCCCCAGACTCTCAGAAATACCCACCTCACCTCCGGCCTCATCCTAGCAGGTTGGCAAATGCAGCCGCAGGCCCAGGCAGCAGACCCCCACATGCTCAGCATGGGGCAGCTCTGCCCACCCACTGTTCATTTCCTTACCCGTCGTCCTCCGCAAGGGCGCCCCGCCCACTCCCTGAAGTCCGGATCACAGACCAGCTGCCCTCCGGCCACTGACCCCCTTGCGTTCTGCCCCCAGCTTCCCGCACGCCACCAGCCAGACCCTGCTGGCCAAGTTCAAGCAGCAGCACGAAGACAACAAGTACTTCCTGGGCACGCCCGTCCTGCAGCCCGCCTTCATCATCCAGCACTTCGCCGGCCGCGTCAAGTACCACGTCAAGGTGGGGCCCGGGGCGGGGCGGGGGCTTGTGCTGGGCGATTGGAGACTGTCCATCGGAAGAAAGACCCCGTGATCCAAAAGTCCTGCCGTGCACAGCTCTGCTCTGATGGCCAGGGGCCCGCCCCGCACCAGGCCTGCGGATCCAGTGTCCAGGCATGACCATCTGAGCCCTGGTGGCACAGTGCTTGCGGTCAGTTGCCGGTTCGGAACCACCTGTGGCTCTGTGGAGGAAAGAGCTGACAGCCTGGGAAGCCCCTGCAGGGCGGTGCTTCTCTGCCCTGTGGGGTCATGGTGAGCGGGGTCGCCAGCTCAGTAGGTTGAGTGCAGTCCCCAAGTGGCTCGGTCAGCGAACTTGCCCGCTTGCTAGGCGAAGAGTTGGAGTCCCCCCACAAGAGCCCCGGAAGAAAGGCCTGGCCACCTGCTCCCCAGAACTTGGCCCCTGAAAAGCTGTGGCGCTCAGTCCTACTCTGATGTACATACCTGGGGTCCAAGTCCACAGCAGCAGTTTTGGGGGGGGGCATTTTGTTGTTGTTGTTTGTTCCCCATGTTAGATGCTGGACAAGCTTCCAGAGCGCTGACCCTGCACCACCCCCTCGTGTGACTGTCAGAGGCCCGTGTGGCCCTGCCCACAGCCACCCCATCTCCTCCTCCCCCACCAGGACTTCCGGGAGAAGAACATGGACTACATGCGGCCAGACATCGTGGCGCTGCTGCGGGGCAGCGACAGCTCCTACGTGCGGGAGCTCATTGGCATGGACCCTGTGGCCGTGTTCCGCTGGGCAGTGCTGAGGGCCGCTGTGCGTGCCATGGCTGTGCTGCGGGAGGCTGGGCGGCTGCGCGCCGAGAGGGCCGAGAAGGCCGAGAAGGCTGCAGGTGAGTGATGGGGAGCCCAGCTCCAGGGAGAGTTGTCAGCTGGTGCCGGGCAGCGGCCCCACATACTTTGGACCAAAACACCACCAGAGCCTGGGCCTTCCCTACGATCAGGGTCCCTGGGGTCCGTAGAAAGCTCACGAGCCAATTTTCTGGAGTCAGTCGCCAGGCCTTTGTTCCCAGGCTGACCTGGAAGCCCCACTGAAGCCTGCCTGCCCAGCATCACTGCCGCACACAACCGCTCTCTACCCACCCTCTCCCCGTCCCTGCCAACCCAGAGTCCACGTTGTCTGGGCGGCTTGCCTGCTCTGGGCCTCTCACATCCCTGCAGCCAGTGTGGGCCTCCGGGTTTGGCTCCTCGCGTGTGTCCGTTGTCAAGGCCCACCCCCACCGCATGCCCGTGCATGTGTGTTCCGCTTCATGGCTGCACAATGCTCCATTGCGCAGGTGGGCACTGGGTTGTGCCTTGCCTCGGGCAACTGGTTTTGACCTTTGGTTTTCCCTGACAACACAAGGCAGTTTGAACGGTTCTCGATCTGCCACACACTCCTGAAAGTCTCCTTGCTTTTAACGAGCACTCTGCTGTACTTCTTCCGAGACAAATTTGCCTTTTGAGCAGTCCGCGGGTCTTTAAATATGCCTCGCCAGCCCCACAGTTCAAATGTGTCAATTCCCCGGTCTTTATTCGGTGTCCCACCTTCGCATGCACAGGAGGCCATGGAAAGCATCGGGGCTTGGGTCAGGCACACCTTAGTCCTCAAAGTAACATCCTAGCTTTTCCAAACCCTATGGGACCGTTTCACTCAGCACCCAGGGACCCACCAGGAGCCGGTGTCCACTCAGTGGCAGCTGGTGAAGGCTCACAGTCCCCTCAGCAGAGACCAGGTCACTAGGCTCCAGGCAACTGGCCCTACTGTGTCCACTCTGTCCCCAGCAGGCACAGGCAGCACCAGCGTCCGGAACACCCCAGGAGAAACCCCGAGAACGGCCAGCACCCCATCAGAAAAGCTGTACCGGTGAGCAGACGTCCACTCTAAGCCTCGCAGAGGCACCCTGGGTGGCACGCAGGGTTAAGCGCTCAGCTGCCAGCCAAAAGCAGGGCTGCGGTCCAATTCTGCAGACCCCAGAGCAGCTCACCCACACCCCCTGAGGTTGCCTGAGTCGGCAAGGCTCTGCAGCGCCAACAACCGTTTCCCCGACGGAAGCCTCCACCCCTCAGGTTCCCACGCAGATGTGGCCTATCATTTCAGACAAAAGTTACTCAGCGCCCGCCTGGCCGCGAGAAACGTTCATACTCTCGCCCCTGATGCAGCATGAAGTGCAGGTGTCTGCGCTTGCAGGCCCCCCTAGACGGTTCCAAGGAGCCCTGGAGGCGACTGGCTGTGCTTTGTTGGGCTGCTAACCCCAAGGTCAGCACTAGGAGACCCCCAGCCACTCCTCCGGAGCAAGACTGTGAGACCCACAGTTAGGGTCTCAGAAACTCACCGGGGCAGTTTCTGCCCTGCCCTGTAGGGGTCACTGTGTCTGCCTCGACGCCACAGTTTTGTTTTTGGGTCTGGGTCGTTTCCAGCACCCTGCCCTTAGGTCAGTGGTTCTCAACCTTCCTCAAGCCACGACCCTTTCATACAGTTCCCAACCATAACATTATTTTCGCTGCTACTCATCGCTGTCACTTTGCTACTGTTAAGAATCAGGCAACCCCTGTGAAAGGGTTGTTTGCCCCCCAATGGTGTCGTGACTCACAGGTTGAGAACCGCTGCCCTAGGGGGACGTGTGGCCCACGCCTCTAGACAGACAGCAACTCCTAACATGGCTCCACCCAAAGCCCACCTTCCACACCAAGGCATGCTCCCCACCCCAGGTGACAGGTGGCCTTTGACCCGAGCCCACCTCCACACAGCCCACCAGGGAGGCATGCTCACCATTGGTTGGGGTGCTCTTTCCCACGGCCCTGGGGGCTGCCATGAGGATATCAAGGGGCTGAGAAGCTTGACTGGAGGCTTGACTCCCCCCGCCCTCAGTAAGAAGTCCCTGGGCAGCACAAACTGTTTGCACTCAACTACTAAAGGTTGAGAGTTCAAATCCACCCAGCAGTGCCTTGGAAGAAAGGCCTGGCAATCTGCGTCCACTAAGATTGCAGCTACCATTTGGACGATTCCGCCCTGTGGCTTGCAGGGGTGCCGTAGGTCAGAACCCTTCCAGTGGACCTGGCTTTAGCAGTGACTGAGGGTCCCCATGTACCCGAGGACATACTGGTGCCTGGGGATAAGTGACCAGGACACGTGAGATAGGACGTGCAGTGAAGTGAGGGCACACTGGACAGATGTCCACGTGGTGAAGCCCAGGGAGAGAGGCTGCCCACATCCCTGCAGAGCTGGACAGGCTGAGTTGGAGTTGGGCAAGGAGGGCAGGCAGGGTCAGCCAGCCACGGGAAGGTCAGAGCGAAGGCCCTAGGGCCGGCCTCGTGCCCTTCTCAAGACCCCCAAAACCCCACAGTCAAGCGCACCTCGAGATTCCTGTATTTCGTTGCGTGTTTTGGATCCCTTGGCCGTAATAATACTTGGCCAGGTGCCACGGGGTAAGTGGCCGGGACTCCTGCTCTGAAAGCGCACAGGAGGCCATTGTCCTGCTTTTAATGGGTGTGTTACCTCCCAGTTGGCTTTTTCACCCCAAAACAGCCACACACACACACACACACTCTGGCTTGTGGCGGTTGGGTTGGCGGGTTTCTTCCCCCCAGCGGGGCCTCTGCCCCACCCCCACCCTCAGGGTTAGTGCATCCATTTGATACAGCTTCTCCCTTTCAGCGGCTCATTGCTAGATTTCTCATTTGACGGCTCTGAGGAGTTCGATATTAATGCTTTTGAAGACATCATTGCTTTCTATGAAAGCAAGAAGTAAGTGTGCTCCGGCCTCCGAGCCCGAGCCCAGGGAGGCACAGGAGGGCCTTCAGGGCAAGGAAGAGCAGAATGGGCAGCAGCGGGGCACACATGCTGGCCAGATTTGGCCCTGGAGGGAGCGGGGTTAATGGCAGTGACACCGAGCAGCTCCGGGCACGGAGGAGACGTCCACTCACAGGCGCAAAGCATGATGCCTCTCTTGTCTTTGCTCTGTGCCTCCCTGGAGAAGGAGGGCCAGGAGGTAAGTGTGGCCCCGGGCCGGGCACGCCATCTGGATCACGCCGCCTGGTGCATGGAACACGGACGGGAGTGGGGACCGCGCTCACTCGGGTCCTTCCCCCCGCCGCCTTGAGCTCAAACATGCACGTGAAACAGTCCTGACACCCTGGGGTCCTTCCAGAAAAGTCCTGCCAAGACCTTCCCGGTCCCTGTGTTCTAGCAACTCCCTTGGAAAGCATCCGATTTTACTCTCTGAGCGCCCACCAGGCACTGGGGTGGTCAGCTCTGGCCAGCAGCAGTGGTTGGACACAATGAAGCTCATCAGATAGATTTGTTTCAAACAGGCTCTATTCCCCCGCCCCTGCCTGCCGCAGCACTGCCGCCCTCCACCTCCGGGTCATCCCCTGGTGCGGGGCCACCCTGTGTGCTGGGTGTTGAGCAGCCTCTCAGTAGCACCCCTTCCCCCATGTCCTCCAGGTGTGACAGCCACAAATGTCCCCAGACCGAGCCAGCGTCCGCTAGGGGCACAATGGCTGTAGCTGAGAAGCACCCTGTTAAACTCTGGCCTGGGTGTTCAAAATTATCTTCCTCCCAAGCTCCCAGACATAACCACACGGGGTGACTGGGAGCAGCCTCTGTGGTTCCCAGCAGACCCTCCGTCTCCCCTCTGAGGTGCCCGGCTACACAGCCGTCTCTGCTGGCAGCCCCTCTCAGAGAGGGGAGCTGCCCCTAGCCGATGCCCCTCTAAGCCCAGGAGGAAGGCGCCAATCACTTGCATGTTTCAGCTCCGGCAGCCCGGGAAACGGCACGGGACCTGTGGTGATGGGCCTGCCGCTCTAACTCGGTCTTCTCTCTGTCACTGAACCCCCCCTCACCCCTCACCCCTCAGAGATTTGCATGACCAAATCATCAAGACCATCAAGGGGCTGCCCTGGCAGGGCGAGGACCCCCGGCGGCTGCTCCAGTCCCTCAGCCGGTTCCAGAAACCCAGGGCCTTCATCCCGTGAGTCCCTCCCAGAGCTGCAAGGCCACCACCCCTCCTCCCAAACACCCCGAAAGTGCAACAACTGCCCCCGCCACCCCTGGGGCTCCAGCCTGCCCGCCTCTGTGGCCAGCTCCCCTATGCGCGCCCTCTGGCTGCTAAACACTATACCCAGCGCTCGCATCTGCAAAGCAGCCCCCTGCTAACCCACTTCGTCACCAGCCGGGGTGCCTACCTGCCTGCGCTGCAGCCGAGTGCCTGCCACAAGCGTGTCCCCATGGCAGGCAAAGCGAATGAAGCCTGCTCCTCCCGCTGTCTGAGCCGGGCTTTCCCAGAGAAGCCAAACCATAGGGGGCTTCTATGTAGATGTGCAGAGAGAGTGGGGTCTACCCCATGGGCGTGGCCACACACTCTTGTGGGGTCTGGGAGAGTCCTGCAGGCCCGAGTCCCAAGACCCCAAGGTCAGAGGTCAAGTGACAGGATGAAAGTGGGGCTGAGAGAGAGAACAAGTTCCGATAGAATCAACCCATACCCTGAGGGAGCTCCCCTTTGCAGCTGATGGATGAGTTATCCCAGGCGAAATGGTCCCCTTATAAAACAGCAGCCACAGACTGAATGAGCCTCTTCACACCTCCTGGGCCTTTGTTAGCATCTGAGGAAGTCTGTCTGTAAGGAGGGAGGGGGTTTTACGTGTCTTGGAAAAGGAGAGGGCCAGCCAGAAGGAGGAAGGCCCTTCAGGTAAACTGACCCAGCGGCCCCATCGGGCCAACACACAGCAGGGAGTCGGGCAGTCGTGTGCTTTCGTACACGGGGTCTCTATGAGTCGGAACCGACCCAACAGCCACTTCGCAGGCCCCGGCTCCGTTTGCAGACAACAGTAGACTAGGACCCCAGGTTGGTCCTGGCGCCCTACTGCCAACTCGCCGAGGGGCGTGACCCGGAAATCGCCGAGGGCACTTTTGGCATGACCAGGTCAGGCCGCTCAACCGGAGGGCTCTCACGGTCATGGTCGGACCTGTAGGGGCCACTCTGGGCTCAGACCACCCAGGAGCCAACCTCGTCCCCACCAGGGAGCCAGTTTGAAAAGCGTGTGTTGCGGTGCCTTCCTCAGCCCCATGCAAGCTCCACTCTGAACAGAGCATCAGAAGTTCGAGCTCACCCAGAGGCAGCGCAGAGAAAGGCGTGGGCATCTACTTCCAGGCAGGGGGTTGGGGGGAGGAATCAACCTCAGCACCCCAGTTCTTGTGTGTTTGCCCCCTAAGGGGGTGAGAGGCGGCCTCACGCCCCAGGGCCTCTTTTGGAGTCTGCGCTGCTGCTTGGATCCCTCAGCCATTCTAACCCGAGCCCAGCTGCTCTTTCCTGAAATTGTCTGTGTACAGGGTTCAGTGGCATGTCTCAGCACATGGGTGAGGAGGGGGCAAAGGTACTGACTCTCACTCCCTCCCTCAGCCCCAGGACCAACTTTCGTCTCTCCCACCAGCATAAGTCTGAGAAGGACCCCTGGTTGAACCGCCAGGTCACCAAGGCAGCCCCAGCCCACCCCCACCACGCACAGCAGAATAAACGCCGCCCAGGTCCCCGCCCTCCCGGGCTGCTGTGGGTCAGACCCTGCCATCCAGGGGCTTTCGTGGCTGGTTTTCCGAAGGTCGCCAGGCCTTTCTTCCGAGTCCATCTTAGCCTGGAAGCTCCGCTGGCACCTTCTCCCCGCTGACGGCGTGGGCGGTGGCTGCCTGGAAACCGCGCCCCTTGGACGTCTTTCCAAAGGGTAGCAACGGAGTGGGGACACCCGCTGGGCAGACTCTGCTCAGGCTTGCAGTGTGTGTTTGCACGTGTGGCAACGTCACCTGCAGGTAGTACTCCCCAGCTCACGACGACGACAGGCTTCCGTCCACGCAAATGCCCGGCCCTCCGTTTGTCCTTTTTTTATTTTTACGTTTCCATCATCCTTGCCTTGAATTATCAGTGTCTTTATAAATCCGGTCCGTATTATCCTTTAGGGGTTGAAGACGTTACATGTTAACAGACAGATCCTAATACATACCTAAGAGGTACACCTGTCCGTTAAAAAAACGGACAAGGCTGGCATTTTGTCAGTTGCCATGGTGACATCCCTCCCACACCCCGTGCAAGGTTCCTGATTATCCCTGGGAGTGAAGGTGGTTTTTCTAGTTAGAACACGCTGGGAGATTTTTATGGATGGTCCTTTTGGGTGTCCTAATGCTACATGGGGTACATGTTACTGCCGCGTGTACCCACCCCCCAGATAAAGATGGCACGTGTGCGCTCTACCATGAATGCCAGGGACAAACAAGACATTTCCCATGCCAGCCTGTCTTCCACGTCTGCAGCTCCGTGCTGTACAAACCTTCACCCCTGTCTATCCCTGAGCGCACGGCCTCAGAATGCTCCCGTGGGCCCATCCCATCGACCCATGGCAGGGGTCCGTCAGCTCCCCTCTCACTATGGAGACCATCGACAGCTAGCCTAACAATTGGCTGTTGGAACCCATCCGTGGTGCTGCAGAAGAAAGGTCCGGTTCTCTTGTGTATGAGGATGAGCTTTTCCAGCCCATTGTTGGTCAGTGGGCCCCTCTTCCCCTGATACCTAAGTGACATGCGCACACACACACACACACAGAAGCAGAGGTCAGCCCCTGAGAGGAAGCCCACCCCAGTCGTTCCCGGGGTCCCCACGGGCTGGCAGTGGCGGCCTTGTTGCACTTCCTCTTCCTTCCGCTCTGTGCTCTCACCTGGTCTAACCCGCAGAGCGCGGCTTCTCTACTAACCCCACACCGCGCTGCCTTCCTCTCGTTCACGAAACCGTTTTTAATATTTCGACAGGAAAAGTAAAGGTATCAAACAAAAGCAGACCATTCCCAAGGTAAACACTCGCGGCTCCCCCAAAGACGAGCTCTCTCGCCCTTGCTCCTTGGGAGGGTGGAGGGTGGAGTGCCTGGCTGGAAGTGGTTTCCCAGAGAAGGACAGACAGACGGATTGGGCGGGTGGGGAAGTGCCTCTAACTTCCCGAGCTTCTTGGATACCTTCCCCCTCATAAGTCACCTCTCCACACCCACACCTCCTTTTTTTCCCCCCTTAAATGTTGAAATTACTCATGGACTGCCTTTGGGCTCTCGGCAGCAGATGCCGAGGAGGGTGCTTATGCACGATGTGGGTACTGGGGAGCTCTTGGAGCTGGGGCGTGGGGAGGATGGGGCAGGAGAGCATGCACCCCGCTGGCTGAGCCCCCTCCTCAGCCTGGTTCCATAGGGAGCCCTGGAGCATAAGCAGACCTCAGCTTTCCCAGCCCAGTGGCAAGGGGCTTGCAGTTAGACTCCCACGTGGACCCGTCATGAGCTACATGACAACAGGACACGGCCCCTCAATGAAGGGAGTCCTGCTAGGAAGGAGGAAAAATGGGTCCAGCCCCACAGCTAGGAGCGCTCCCCGGCTGCTTCTCCTTCTGGACACTTCAGGAAGTTTCTAGACGCACCAGGACAGTCTCTGTCTAGCCAGCTGCTGGGAGGGAGTAGAGGATCAGCTGGGCGGCCCGTGGGCAACACAGGGCTTAGCCCTTTCTGACTCACCAGGTTGAGCGTGCAGCTGAAGGGCTAGACCCAGTAGCCATGGGTCACCCACATGACCCCGGGAGGGAGGTGGCGACTGAGCCCAACAAGAGGTTGCAGCCAGCCACCCTGGACACTGCTGCTGAGGGCCAACCTCGGGATTGAGACCGTGAACCTTCGCGTCCTTGGGGGAGGGCCACGCCTGTTGGCGCTGTGCAGAGCAGGCCAGACCCCAGACCCTGCCCATTTGTCTTAGAACCTGTTGGACTCCAAGTCCCTGAAGCTCATCATCAGCATGACGCTGCACGACCGCACCACCAAGTCGCTCCTGCACCTGCACAAGAAGAAGAAGCCCCCCAGCATCAGTGCACAGTTCCAGGTGGGCAGCAGGGGTGGAGGGAAGGGGGCAGGGTAGCTCTTAGCCCTGCCCGGCTCTTGTGGCTCAGCGAAGCAGACTTCAACCCAGAAGACTTCCCCGGGATCTTGAACGTTGTTCTGGAACATTCTCTGTGCGCTGTAGGATGTTAAGCAGCATTCCTGGTCCCCACTCACTCAATGCCAATGCCACCTACTCCCCCAGTTGTGGCACCCCAAAAAGGTCCCCAGGTATCACCGGTGTCACTCGGGGGTTGCAGGGGTGGGATACAGGATTTCCCCCGTGTGAGAACCACTGTCCATGGGCCTTTTGGTCAGCACATTGTTCAGTGGATTCAAGACTGCATAGACCGCTTTCTTGACCTAATGATGTTCTCAGGTGCTGCACACCTTTAAATACACAGACTGAGTGGAGAGGGGGCAAGGCAGGAAATCATAGAGGCTGGAGGGTTCCCGGGAGGAATTTATTCTGGTGTGTGGTGTGAGGGAGGAATCACCTCCGTTGCTTCCGCCCCCACAGTGCAACAGCGTTTCCTCACCTCCGCACCTCGAACGTCTGGCTCCAGATCAGTCTCCGTGGTGGGGCCATCCTGTGTACTGTTGGCTGTTGAGCACTGTCCCTGGCCTCTGTCCGTGTGTGTTAGTCCGGGTGGACTAGAGAAACAGATTCATAGACACTCATGTGTATAAGAAAGAGCCTTATATGCAAGAGCAGTTGAATATTGAGAAAACATCCTAGTCCAGATCCAGTCCATAAGTCCGATATTAACCCATATGTCCGACAGCAACATATAAAGTCCTCTTAAGACTCATGAGAAACATGCAATGACACTGAATGCAGAAAGATCGCAGGCCAGTGGGTGGAAAGTCTTATGGATCCAGTGGCGTTGCAAGCATCTCAGCGCTGGCAGGGATCTCCACGAAGCTACTCCAGCTCCAGAGTTCTGGCTCCATCAGCCTCTCCCCATGTGTCTTCTCAACGGGGGTGCCTCGCAGGGAGTGAGGGGGGAGAGAGAGTCTCCTGCCTCCAAGGAGGAATTCAGGAGTTCCCAGAATCCTCAAGAGAAGACCATGCCCACACAGAGGCCTCATTGTCTATGACCTGATTGACAGGCTAGACTCCACCCCTTCCCACTTAATCCTTTCAAATTGACAAATGGTTATATAACTACCACACCATTAGATGCCAGAAACCCACACACAGATGCTGCCACAGCACACGCGTGTTCTCTCCACCCCCACGGCGACCATGGCAACCACAAGCACCTACAGTGACCTCCCAATGTCCTCTGGGCAATGAACAGAGGGCCACAGTCCTCGTAGCCAGCACATGGGTTAACCAAGCGCCCAGCTGCGTCATTGGTCACTTCCCACCTTTTCGCTGGCTTCCAGGAAGCAGGACAGGCTTAGCGGGAGACCACAGCTGCCAACCTCACCGTTGGTCTTTTCATTCCTTACTGTCTCCCATCTGAGTGCCATTCCCACCCGACCTGTTACGAGACCTTCGGGGCTTTGGGGGTCACTATAGACAGCAAAACATTCACCAATCCAGTGATTCCCACGCCTACCATTCAGTCACCTGGCTCGTTCTAGGAGTAACAGCCTGACTGCCCTCGATGGTCTCATCGAACCTTTTGGGTTGCTGTTGCCATTGGCTCTCCCAGAGAACTCTTCAAGGAAGCACAGGGCTCCGGCAGGGCAACTACTCGTCCGCTCTTGAGCTTCTCTGAATCCAGAAGCCTGGATGGGTTTGAGTTCCCCAGGGTGCACTTGGCCTCCCCCTGCCCTTCTGCATGTGGTTCTGGCAAGCAGCACATGGGAGGTGGCTCTTGGCTCTCGAGGGCGTCAAGGACCCCTTGGGGGCTCCCCAGCACGGTGCCACCTCTGACCGGAACCTGTGGCTTCAAGTGCTGTGGCCTAGGGCCTGCGTTGTGACCCGTATCCCCTGTGGCAAGTGGCGTGCTCCGGGCACTCTCGAAGCTCCCGGCCCAGCACAGAGCCTTCTCCGTCTCTCCCTAGACGTCCCTGAACAAGCTCCTCGAGGCGCTGGGGAAAGCAGAGCCCTTTTTCATCCGCTGTGTCCGCTCCAACGCGGAGAAGGTGAGTAGCCAGGCGCATCGGGCTTGTCACTGATCCAGTTCCTGGAGTGCCCCCCTCTGATGGCCCCAGGGTGGACAGGCACAGCCTTAATATCCCGTGTGTGTGGCTACGTTACAGCCACTTTGCAGGCAAGACCATGGGGGCGTCCAGTGGGGACAGGGTCCCGGGAGCTGCAGACGAGGCACTGGCTGGTTAGAGCCCAGGAGTGGGGAGCAGGCAGGATGTTGTCTGTGTGGAGGACCACAGACGAGCAAGGGGCAGTGTGGGGAGAGAATGGAGTGGAGGAAGCTGGAGACCCCCCTGCCTCCCCAGCAAAGATGACGATCAGACTGGGGTTCTGGGTGACAGACGGGTGACAATCAGGCTGGGTGGTCAGACTGAGGTTCCAGGTGACAGGCTGGGGTTTGGGGTGACGATCAGGCCGGGGTTTTGGGTGATGGTCAGACTGGGGCTCGGGTGACAGCACCCTGGGAAACTCGCTCGGGCGCCGGCCCCACCTGCCATTTCAGAAGGAGCTATGCTTCGACGAGGAGCTGGTGCTGCAGCAGCTGCGCTACACGGGCATGCTAGAGACGGTGCGCATCCGGAGGTCAGGCTACAGCGCCAAGTACACGTTCCAGGTACCGCACATGCCCGCACACATGTATGCTCACACGTGCAGGTGCACACTCAGGCAGGCACACAGACACACTAGGCACCGTCAGAACAAACCGCTGTCGTGCTCACGCCCTCCTGAGCCCATCATGGCGTGGACCCAGTGCGTGAGGGCCTTCCTCTTTTGCACGGCCGTGTGCTTGGCCGGGCAGGCGTCCCACACCAGAGACCACTTCGCTGGGCAGGCGTCCCACACCAGAGACCACTTGGC